ATAGCGTAAATTAATTCCAAGCGAAAATAAAGTATTCTACAGTAATGATCTGGATGAGCACTAAACACATTCTCCTTCGCAGAGACTATGGGTCTTTTATCACTAAGCTAGGTAGTCACCAGAGAACGCCCCACTAGTTGCAGCTCTATGTGGCTCCCTAAGCCAGGTCATAATCTCAAAGACTCTGCAAGGGAGAGTGCACTAAACACTGACTCGACTTCCTTGAATATTTATTTATACATACCAATCCAACAATACATTCTATTCTGTAAATGTGCATAATCACTGGGTTTTAATTTAGTGCAAACAGTGAAATAAGCAAAAATAAAACCAAGCAAATAATTAAAGCTCTATGCAGTAAATCAATGGTAATTAACATAAAAGTTCACTTCCATTTTTTTTATGTTTTTCTTTTTTCTCAGGACATAGACAATGGATTACTGCCAGCCTGGTCTAATATGCCAGCACCACCGCTAGCTATTCAGTACTGGAAGCTCCCGGTAAGTATGTAAACGAGTTAGGGTTCCAATATATTTGGAGTCAACGTGAGCGACATACAAGATGGACCTTTTACCGCTTACTGTGAGATCCCGCGTGACTCATTACTCCCACGAACAACTGAACAAACAATTGTTGTAGCGTTGTAGTTACATCTAAGCAACGCGTGAGATTTGACAAACGGAAAAGTATTTTCGAAGCATTTTTCAGATCATAATTTTATATTTGCGGTGACCATTCGATCTGCAGATTTCACACATTACGAGAGATCTCACAGTACAGGGACAAATCGTTCATTGAGGGCTAAATTTTCACGAGTAAAATCTATATCGTGTGTTTATATCTATATCGTGTGTTTATATCTATATCGTGTGTTTATATCTATATCGTGTGTTTATATCTATATCATATGTAAATTCATTAATTATTCGTTGGTTTTTAACTTTGACCCTTTCGCCGATATGTGAAATAAAATAATTTAAATTTAATGCATTTGAACATGAAGAATAACAATGGAACTGATTGTTTCTCTGCAATGTTCGTAAACCACTGTGAAATTGTTAAAAACATTGATATAGTGAAATTAAGCGGTTTTATAGTATACAAGGAAGAATTTGATACATCAGAAAATAATGTCAACAAAAAAACTGCTCTGTGATTGGTCTGACTGTTAGGTGTTAAGGTTGGGTAGCCAATCAGGAACAATCTTTTAAGCAGCTTCGCACTGACTGGTAACTCAGAATTCACTGGGATTTATTTCTGTTTAGAATTAAGTAACTTGAGAAAATGGCATATCCATGTGCAATTTATTTTTGTTCCATTAAATATTTCACAATAAAGTGAAATAATTGTGGAGTGCACTTTTAATGTTGATCATTGTCTCAATTTACATATTATCTCTGTTCGCATATTGTCTCAATTTACATATTATCTCTGTTCGCATATTGTCTCAATTTACATATTATCTCTGTTCGCATAATGTCTCAATTTACATATCATCTCTGTTCGCATAATGTCTAAATTTTCATATTGTAGCAATAGACCATTTTCCGTTCACTGCGAGAATCACGCGTTATGCGTGAAATCGAACGTAAAAACAGGACAAACAAAGGTCATAGCGTCGTAGTCGCGTCAAACATCGCGTGGGATTTGACAAACGCGAAAGTATTTCGGGGACATTTCCATGCTTAATAATGTGCTGTCCACATTTGATGATAGGCAATTTCGATTAAGTAAGGGTATTCGGAAGCAATATTCCTCTGTCAAAGATCGGCTGGTCAATGTAAGCTGTGAAATAAAGAAATTCTAGTTCAAAATCAAATCGTTCGATTTTTGCGGCAGACGTTCGACGTGCGTCTTTCATGCATCTCGCGAGATCTCGCAATTGTACGGACAATCACCTATTTTCATATTGTCTTAATTTGCATATTGTCGCAATTTGCATATTGTCTCAATTTTCATATTGTCTCAATTTGCATATTAATTCTTTCATTTAATAGGAGGATGCAATGATGCGGGATGTGATAGAAGTGATACGAGCGGATGAGGCTCATCACCGCGTAGTCAACCATACGCTGGGATCCCTGGATAAGGATGCCAAAAATCCATACGGCCCTGGACAGTAAACCAATACATCCTTGTGTGGTCAGAGGAGTAAATATTTGTTTTTAGTGGTGTGAACTAAAACCAGTTACTGTGCAGATGCACACCTGCAAAATGTAACCAAGTGCGATGGTCTATAAAAAATGAACACCATGAAAACTATAGCTGGTGATGAAATGAAGTCACCTTAGTGTCTGTAACCATGGCAACCATAGCTGGTGATAAAATGAAGTTACCTGAGTGTGTCTGTATTAACTTATATGTAAATATTTAAAATATATATTTAAAGTTTGAACGCCATTTTGTTTTCTCCTAAAATTTTGAAGCTTAATTTTATCTATTTTTCTATCAGTTTTTTATCAATTTTGGACCAAATAGACAAAATGTCCTGATCAAAAGTTTGGTAAAGATGTGGATAAAATTAATTTTTATTTTGTGGATGTTGACAAAAGTTTACTTTAGTGCTTGGAAGGTTTAAAGGTTTTCTTCCCAAAATTAAACAAATCAAGAACAAAATAACCTCAAATAAACAAACCAGTAATTACTTAGCTAGATCAACTATAATTGTATTTTATTTAAATGTGATGACAATGGATATGAACATAAATCATCTTTCTTTTCAAAGTATGCAACTTAATTATTTGTTAACCTGCAGGGAGAACCAAATACATTTTTTCTATTTTTTTTTTTTTCACAGTTTGTTATTTTAGTGTCTTTATTTTCTCTTCACCATACTGGTATGAACAGATCTTTCAGACATATGTGATAACATTATTTTTATTATTGTATATGTATTTTTTTACATACTTGCAGTTCTTTGGTTTTATTAATATTAATTAATAATTAATATTTGTGTTTATACATATGTACTACACACACACGTATGCTTAACAAGAAGCAGTCATTTAAGATTTTACCAAAGAAAACGTTTTTGAGGCTGTTGGATTATTTGTTGTTTGTTTCATTTTTAAATTTTAACCTGAGAAAACCTCATGTGATGCTGTTCAACCCTAATTGTCCCAGCCACGGTAGAATTTTTAAAATCCTTGGTACAAATATGCATGAAGTTGACTGTGGTATGTAAAATGCCAATGAAAATACTTGATGCATAGTGTTATATAAAGAGCCAATGAAAATGCTTGATGCATACAGTGTTATGTAAAGAGCCAATGAAAATGCACACAGTGTTATATAAAGAGCCAATGAAAATGCTTGATGCATACAGTGTTATGTAAAGAGCCAATGAAAATGCTTGATGCATACAGTGTTATGTAAAGAGCCAATGAAAATGCTTGATGCATACAGTGTTATGTAAAGAGCCAATGAAAATGCTTGATGCATACAGTGTTATGTAAAGAGCCAATGAAAATGCTTGATGCATACAGTGTTATGTAAAGAGCCAATGAAAATGCTTGATGCATACAGTGTTATGTAAAGAGCCAATGAAAATGGTTGATGCATACAGTGTTATGTAAAGAGCCAATGAAAATGCTTGATGCATACAGTGTTATGTAAAGAGCCAATGAAAATGCTTGATGCATACAGTGTTATGTAAAGAGCCAATGAAAATGCTTGATGCATACAGTGTTATGTAAAGAGCCAATGAAAATGCTTGATACAGTGTTATGCAAAGAGTTACATGTTGTACACCTGTGTGTATTGTATATATAATTTATATTTACGAACAGGGTATGTCACTCAAACTCAGAATGCCATTTTAACGACTTTTAGTCCCTAATTTTGTTATTAGCTATTATAGTTTTAATGATTGAATTATTTATTATGACAAATCCATAACTTTGAGTGTGTTCTGTAAAATAATTTTCCAAAAATTGTATTTAAATGACAAGACCCAAGTTCAAGATCACGTATGTTCATAATGAAGATGTCATTTTACGAGACGTATTATATATTTTCTGTTAGCTCTAAATGTGTGAATGCATGTATAAGCAATACATTCAAAATAAATGTGCTCATATTATATTATTTCTGTCTTTTTTGTGTCATGTGATCAACTGTGTACCTGCTCTCAAGCACCCGTTAACACGAGAACAAAATGTTTTGAGTCGTTTGAGAAAACTGACAATTTTCTACACTTATAGGCCCTAATAGAAACTGTTACAGCTGACTTGATTGGTCAATTGGTTTATTAAGCCACACCATTTTTTGTTTTGTTTTATCAAGATCAAATGTAGGTAATGAAAAATTAAAGAAAAAGTCAAGGCTAACAACATAATACTTCCAGATGAAAGCATTTTCTCAATATTTCACAACAGTGGAAATGATGTCACACTTTACCCACAATCCTTTGCTGGAAAAACAAGATGGCAGACTACAAAATACTGATTAAAAGTTGAATATCTAGAGAATGAAAAGTGATATAAAAAAACTGTAAATTGCATTCTCTTACATTTGTAGAGCTCTTGTATTATATATTATGTTGCATTATGTTGTTTGCCTTGACTTCCCCTTTAAAGAGGGAGGGTTGTCACCTGCGCACGCGTGGGAATTGAGTCCCAAGCGACGATAACAACACACGCTAAAAACGCAAAGGCTGATAGGTAGAGGCTTGTTTGTAAACAACGACACGCTACGGCCAATTGACGCATGCGCAGGTGACGACTTCCCCTTTTCATTCATTTGATTGGAAATTAACAACAAAATAAATTAAAATGTCCGAAAATGTTGCACCATAATTTTAGAATTGGGGATTCTTATTTTAATTCAAAGGTTTAAACCAGGGAGTACTAGCGACATTTAAAATTGTTATCCTCAAAATTACAAATCACATTTCTTGTGGCACAATGGGATGGTTTAATCAAAGCCAGATCAAATCAGACAAATTGTTGATGCAATTGTGATTCTAAACAAAGCATTATAACCATTAGACTGAGTTTTTTTTAAGAAATTATACATGGAAAAGTAAATTCTGGCCTCAGACTCTTGATCCAGGTTTCAGATTCAGATTTAAATTCCAGCTGCAATTTAGATTCAGATTCCAGCCTGGATTCGGGTCCAGATTCCAGTTTAGATTCCAGCCTGGATTCGGGTCCAGATTCCAGTTTAGATTCCAGCCTGGATTCAGGTCCAGATTCCAGTTTAGATTCCAGTCTGGATTCAGGTCCAGATTCGGGCCTGGATTCAGGTCCAGATTCCGGCCTGGATTCAGGTCCAGATTCCGGTTTAGATTCCAGCCTGGATTCAGGTCCAGATTCCGGTTTAGATTCCAGCCTGGATTCAGGCCCAGATCCCGGTTTAGATTCCAGCCTGGATTCAGGTCCAGATTCCGGTTTAGATTCCAGCCTGGATTCAGGTCCAGATTCCGGTTTAGATTCCAGCCTGGATTCAGGTCCAGATTCCAGCCTGGATTCAGGTCCAGATTCCAGTTTAGATTCCTGCCTTAAAATCAGGTCCAGATTCCGGTTTAGATTCCAGCCTGAATTCAGGTCCAGATTCCGGTTTAGATTCCAGCCTGGATTCAAGTATCAAAGCATTCAGGCTTGTAGTTTTCAAGAAGAAGTCGAAAAAGTAAAACATTGACACGAACGACGACGGACAATCACTCATATGATAAGCTCCGCTTGACAAAGTCGACAGAGGAGCTAGTATAGTAATAAAACTGAATAAAAAACTTGCAGTATATTTAACTACAAAATGTAAAACTATATACAAAAATACAAAACTATAGAAAGGCTGGGTGCTGCTCCTTTATTAGTGGGTACCAAGATCACACAAAGCTAAGGTCACACAAGGTCAAGGACTTCCTGCTAAGCCAAAATGAAGAGGGTGGTCATGGATAATGGCTGTCATGCCCTGGAATGGAAGACAGAATGAAAGGGCATTGAAAAATGAAGTGATCAAAGAAAACCCCATGACACTAAATACAGTGAATAATTAAAAATAACATACATCCAAATCTATAATTAAGCACTTTTAAAACAAAATATTGTGATGTGATAAAGTGCCCATCGTATTCAATAGGTTGAAATACCTATAAACGACCTTAAATGTGGGTCAAACAGGGTCAACTTTAACAAAGTTACATGATATCATGTGTTTGGCATAAATCCAAGGGTTGAATACAATTGTATGTATACAAAAGACCCCTTAGGCTGACAATGATTTGAAAAGCAGTAAAACCAGCTTGTTATGCAGCCATTGTAAACAGCAATAAGGAAATGCATATATTATATTGTTAATTTTCGCTTTCCTGGAGAGCACTACTAACAGTTTCTTCCGCCATTTAATATGGCTGCATTCAACATTTCCCTCTGAAATGAAATTAATTAGGATTTTCTTGGCTGTTCTATCTATTTGGAGATCTACAAGTATTAAAAGTCACATGACACCGAGTATACAGAAGACCCCTTAAGCTGGCAGTGATTTGAAAAGCATTGAACCCTTGCAGCCGTTGTGAATATCAATAATGAGGAAAATACATATTGTGAATTTTCACTATACTAG